TCTGTTTTGTCATTGGTCTACCGTCGAACAATACGAGTGACTGGATGGGAATGATTGCCGGGTCTTTGGTAATATGGCAGCTTTGTTTCTGTTGTCATTTTTAACGGTCTTTTGGATAGTTTTGATTACCTTATTTTTTGTCTTTTTCTGTTTAGTATTATGCCTTTTGTCATGTTTATTCCTAACCACCTGTTTTTTTTAAGAATGCCACGTAGTGTGTGTGTGTGTGTGTGTGTGTGTGTGTTAGAGAGAGAGAGAGAGAGAGAGTGAGAGAGAGAGAGAGAGAGAGAGAGAGGTGGGGGAAAGAATTTTTTAATGAAACATACCTTAAAACAAATTTATTCAAATAGATGTCTGTCATTGCAGTTCATCATCACCGGAATCTTTGGAGTTTTAGCCAGAAGAAGAAATAAATGTTTGGTATGTGTCGATAAATTTTCTATAGGTTTCTTTTATCTTTACAAGATAGCAAGACAACTAGATATATAAATGACAAAAGTTAAAACTCAACGTTAACTCAAGCCTTTTAATGCGTATGGGATACTCTCTATCTAGATTCATATAGCATACTAGTACATTCAAAATTTTTATATTGACTTTTACAAAATAACTATAATTAATGTAAAATACTGATAAAATGAGGATTAAATCGTGATGTGTGTGTTTGGAATATGCACACATACACATACACACACACACATATAATACATCGACGTACTATTAAACTTATTAACTCTGGGTTACAGATCGGTTTCTACATGACTGCATCAGTCGTTGCCTTGGTCGCCTCTGGTCCGTTATTCACGTTCTCGCTGAATGACCTAGAAAATGTCGGCGAAGCTTTCGAGGATGATACAGAATATACCCAGGTATGTTTATTTACCTCTCTCTCTCTCTCTCTCTCTCTCTCTGTCTCTCTCTCACAGACAAACTAACTCCTACACACACATGCACGTATTAAATGCGGGTTGGTTACGTAATTATACGCCTAATATATTAAGTTAGTATCTGTCCCCATTTACCACTTTTGATAATCTGTATCTGAAAGAGCACATGCTTTCCGACGTGAAGGTGTGAACAGTAGCCTACGAATGATAAGAATGTTATTTGAAAAAAAAAATAAAAACGAGATATAATAACATAAGCAGACAGGGACCTGTGCGATGGGAATAAGAAAATAATAACAGTGTTCTATATTCAGGAATGGACAGTGCTGATGTGTATGTGTGGGGTCATGGTTTCACTCTACGTAATCGAGGAAATGGTGTCACTGACATCTCTCATACTCTGTATCTTAAACGTTTGTGGCTGTTGTGAAAAGGTAAATATTGGCTAATCTTGACGTAAGGTCACCTTTGAATACAAATAATCCTCTGATCTCTGATCTTGTCTATAAATATGTCAATAATTTGATATAACAAAGAAGGTAAAAATGGTAAAAATTCGTATTTTAAAAAATTCTGTTGACAAACAACAGGTGTGACCTGAGGGTCAACAACATAGAAAATGACAGACTTGAATTGTGAACTTAAAGTTGCATATTTAGGTATCCAATATTACAACACATAGGTTTGAAATGTATTGTTTTCATTTTCAGCGCGATATGCCGGTCAGGATGCCAGAATACGCTGCGCCTGTGCAACCGGAAACCCTAGGGCCAAGTGCACCTCCCCCAGGAATCTAATTCCAGGAACTATTTTCAAAAATATAGTGGAGCGAAATGTGGAATCAAGGGAAGAATTATTTTTCAATTTCCTCATTATCACCATTTTATTATTTCTGTTATTCTGAAAGGACACTTCTAATCAAAATGGAAAATATATCAGTGATTTCGCCGGACAACAAATTTAATTTAACATATATATATATATATATATACCCTGTATTTGTGTAGTAAAATCTGAACGAGAGCCTGACAGGAGCATGCTCCAGATATCAACATTAGTTTACATTTCATGTTTTCGCGCCATTGTGACTTGAATGATCTCCATGGACACCACGCGCTGACCCTCTAGGTGGAGTTCTCCTTGTCTGTTATAGAAACGACTTCGGATGAAGTCTGGGATAACTTCTGTTGCTGAACAAAAGAAACAAATGAAACTACATTTAATAAAGTCGATGTGTTTCAGTAAATAAAAAACGTGTAATATTATTTAAATGTTTAAATGAAGAAATATGTTTTTACAACGAATTGTTGGTGGCCAGAAATTCATGCCATGGGACGAAATTCATATGTCAAAAATATATGCTCCTTATTCATTCATTTACATTATTTACATTTTGTTTATTCATAAGCTGTGTCAGTCACTCGTATCTGTTTTGGTACCCCAGTTCACTTTGTGGAGATAGCACCGGGTTATCAAGTGACAGTTGTTTCAACAGCCCTACCGTCTTCGAAGAAAAATAGAACATGGACAGCAATTTGTAACACATCACTTCTTTTATTGGTCCCAATCGAGCACTTCGCCATTTTTTTTTTATAGTGGGCAAGGGCTAAAGTTTCCATTTTTTGCTCTCTCTCTCTCTCTCTCTCTCTCTCTCTCTCTCTCATGTAAGGATGATGCTGCTCTCTTTAACCCGCGTGGCAGACTGTTGACTTCGAGCAGACTCTTTCATGGTCACATCTTCCACCAAGGTATGTTAAATATTCATTTAATATCGGTTTATATTCGGGTCTATTAGTAAATGCGTTAATTGTACGGTTCTATATAAATTGGCAAAACAAATCTACAGATCTACTGGTCGTGATTTTGAGAGCGTTCTTCCATGTTCAAGAGTCCTTTTGCGTATGTGTGAGTGTGTGAGTGTGTTTGTATTTATATATTGAGAATTATGTGTGAACATTTGGGTTTGACTTTATGATTGGTATGTTTAATTTTGTGTGTGTGATTATCATCATATGTTAATATATAGTTGACCATTTGTTTTGCTATCCCTAGCTGTGATAATTGAGGTCGACGCGTATTTGTAATCTTCCCTTATCAACAGTCATCAGCACATTCCTCCATATTTATTAACTCAATAATGATAATCTCGACTGAAAGCAGATACATTTTGGCCTAAAAAAGCAAGTTACTTTGCGATCCAAGCGCGTTCTTCTATGTTCAAGAGTGTGTGTGTGTGTATGTGTGTGCGTGTGTGTATGTGTGTGTGCGTGTTTGTATTTATATATGAATTATGTGTGAACATTTGGGTTTGACTTTATGATTGATATGTGTGATTTTGGGTGTGTGATAATCATCATATGTTAATAGACAGCTTACCAGTTGTTTTGCTGTCCCTAGCTGTGATAATTGAGGTTGACGTGTATTTGTAATCTTCCCTTATCAACAGCACATTCCTCCTAATTTATTAACTCAGTAATGGTACTCTCGACTGAAAGCAGATACATTTTGGCCCAAAAAAGCAAGTTACTTTGCGTCCTGTCAGCGTGGACCTACTGATACCCTGCACTGGGATAAGTACCATACGACAACTCAATATCATACCGACTTAATTCTATATATTTTGGTGTCTGCCGGGCACTTCAACTGTTCAATTCAATGAAGTTAAATACCTGCACAAAGCGAGGAGGCATGTCTAATTCTTGTCATTTAACCCAACGAATATAACCTCACAGTTTCAAAAAGCATAGCTTAAATAAATGCCACCGAATTCCATTTTATACCCCCCCCCCCAAAAAAAAAAAATAAATAAATAATAATAATAAATAAATATATAATATAATACCTCGCCAACACTCATTTGAATAATTTTTCAGCTTCGGGTGCAGCAGTCATGCACCATTCGTGTAAATTATTACGTCACTTGGCTAACTTTTACGAATTGAAGGGACAGAATGTAGGTCACTTTTACAACCAAACATTTAAAGAAAGTGCATTTAAATCCTTTTTTGGCTGATCGAGTGTTTAATTTGGTTTATTTATATGCATGTGGTCTTTATTTTGAATGTGCAAGAAACTGGGTGCACCAGCGATTTATATACATGTAAGATTAACAAGGTATCTCCGATCGCTTTGTACTGATGAATTTGTATCATTAAGTTATTTTTAAACAAGATAATGGGGAACTGCACTAAAAGTAAGACTCGGTTCCCATGCTTAGAGCGATCCATCTGGATCGATCGATCTATCTGGGGAGTCTCACTAAATTACTGTCAACTGAATGTCTTCCACGCCTGCCGAATAAGCTAGGGGTAAAGATAATTACCGCCTAACAGCTTTACTAGACATTAAAGCCGGTCAAGTTGACAACAATTTAGTGCTACTCCCCAGGGAGATAGATCGATCCAAATATCTGTGGGAATGGTCCCTGATACACGTCAGCTGATTAAGAGGACATTTGGAATCTGAATTATAACAGCACTTTTGTCATTTTAGGGAGGTGAATGTACTTCAGGCCACAATTACTATTAAGTTACTACTAAGTTACTATTAAGTTACTATTACCGGTAAGTATTTTTTGGGCACTTTGTTCATATATCTCAGTTTGACATGCAATCAATCTGCTGATAATATATATCGATGGAAACCGGAGCCTCCACCGTTCCGGTCCCTTTGAAACTAACGCTTGGACATTGGACACCCTTATAAAGGGATTTCTGAAATTACAAATGTGAAGCTGGGAAAAGCAGGATAATTCCGGTGAATAATCATGGTTTCTTTGTAGGTCTAGTCAGCCGTCAAAAAAAGGGACTCCTTAAAATATGTCGAAGTTGCCTACAGAATTGAACCCGCTCTTGCCGCCGGCTTACTCCCAAGTTGATCCATACAGGTCTGTTACACCTGTAAAAATGGGAGGCATGTGTGTGTGTGTGTGTGTGTGTGTGTGTGTGTGTGACTGTGTGTGTACGCGCGCGTGTGCGCTAAATCGCACGTTATTTCCACTCAGATCTGCAGCACATGAGGGATTGGTGTTTGCATGCTTGCATGCATGTCAAGATACCAGTCTTCTTTTTTTCTCATAGTTTGTGTGATATATGGACTGATGAGTGAAAAAATCGTTTTGCCATTTGGCATTTTGATATTATTTCTAGAACAGCCTTATACACCGGGTTTATTAATAACATATATTATTGAAATCCATTAAATGAACTCCATATAATAATTAAAAATATTAGAACCGAACGTGTTTTCCAACCACTACTATTAATTACGTCTCTTGCTTCAGTTTCAGTGAGCACAGCCGCCCGAATCATTCCTATAAGGAAAAAACGCTGAGATGCATCGGCGTCCTGCATATAGTCGTGGGAGTGTTTTGTTCTTTCCTAGGCGTCTGTTTTGCCATTGATCTTCTGTCGTTCTTTAAAACCAGCAATATCTACCCTCCTTGGCCAGGCGTATTTGACCCATACAGTACGAACAATGCTAGTTACTGGATGGGAGTGATTGGCGGATCTTTGGTAATATGGCAGCTTTGGTTCTGTTGTCATTTTAACAGTCTTTTGAATAGTTTTGATTACCTTATTTTCTGTCTTTTTCTGTTTAATATTTTGTCTTTTTGTCATGTTTATTCATAACCACCTGTTTTTTTAAGAGGAGAGAGAGAGAGAGAGAGAGAGAGAGAGAGAGAGAGAGAGAAAGAGGTGGGAGGGGGGAAGGGTCTTTTAGACATACATTAAAACAAATTAAATTCATTCAAATAGTTGTCTGTCATTTCAGTTCATCATCACCGGAATCTTTGGAGCGATAGCTAGAAGAAGAAATACATGTTTGGTATGTGTCAATACATTTTCAATATGTTTCTTTTATCTTTACAAGATAGTAAGACAACTAGATAAAGAACATTTATGAATAAAGTGACAAACTTTAAGCCTCAACGTAAACTTAAGCCCTTTTATGCGTATGGGAGACTCTCTACCTCGTTTCATGTACATGTAGCATGGTAGTACATTCAAATTTTTTTATTGATTTTTTTAATAACTATAATCAATATAAAATACTGTTAAAGTTCTGTTTATATAGTAGTGTGTTTTTAACACACACACACACTACACTGACGTACTTGTAAACTTATAAGCTGCGGGTTTCAGATCAGTTTTTACATGACTGCATCATTGGTTGCTGCCTTGGTCGCCTTTGGTCCATTATTGATCTTGTCGCTGTATGACCTGAGGAATGTCGGCGGAGCTTTCAAGGATGATACAGAACATACCCCGGTATATTCCTTTGCCCTCTCCCTCTCTCTCTCTCTCAGACACTCCTACACACACATGCACGTATTGAATGTGGGCTGGTTACGTAATAATCAGCTTAAAATATTAAGTTAGTATCTATCCCTATTTACGGCTTTTGATGATGTGTATCTAGAAGAGCACATGCTTTCCGATCCGAAGGAGGGGACAGTAGCATACGAATGATTAGAACCTTATTTGAAAAAAAAAGAAAAAAAAAACAGAAAAAATGAGTAATAAAAAAATTAACAGACAAGGATCTCGGAATAAGAAAATAAGAACAATATTCTACTTTCAGGCGTGGACAGTGCTGATGTGTGAGTGTGGGGTCATGGTTTCACTCGCCGTACTTGAAGGATCGTTGTCACTTACATCTCTCATACTCTGTGCCTTTAGCGTGTGTCGCTGTTATGAAAAGGTAAGTATTGGCGAATCTTGACGTTAGGCCACTTTTGAACACCAATAATCCTCTGATCTTGTCTATAATTATGTCAATAATTTGATATGACAAAGGGAGTAGGAAATGGATCATTTAAAGACTAAAGACAACGTTTTATGCAATGAGGATTTTTCCTGGAATTAAGGCAAACAATGTATTTTGAAAAACCCCGATGACAAGCGGCAGGAGCGATCTAAAGGTCAACAAAAGAAAATGACAGACCTGAATTGTGATCTGTAACTTTCAGATTTAGGTGTCTAGTATTATAACACAAAAGTTTGAAATGACTTGTTTTCATTTTCAGCGCGAGGTGCCGGTCTAGATGCTAGGTTACGCTGCGCCTGTGTGACTGGAAACCCGAGAAATCTAATTCCAGGGACTAAAACGTGTATAGTGCTTCATGATGGTGTGACATGTAAAATCAAGAGAAAAAATATACCAATTTAGAAAAGCGTTATTTCTTTTACACATGCATTTATCAGCATGTTTAATTCTTTTCATTTTCCTCATTATCACCATTTCATTATTTCTGTTATTCTGAAACGACACTTCTGATGGAAAATGATTCAGTGATTCAGACAACAAATTTAATTTAACTGAGATATTTGTGTGGTATAATCTGTACGAGAGCCTGCCAGCATATTCAAAATGCAAACATTAGTGTACATTTCACGTATTCGTGCCATGATGACTTGAATGATCTCCATGAAAACCACGCAACTACCCTCTAGGTGGCGTTCTCCTTGGCTCTTGCCGTAGAAACGAATTCCGATGAAGTCTGGGATAACTTCCATTGCTGAAAAAAAAGAAACTAATAAAACTACATTTAATAAAGCTGGTGTGTTTCAGTAAATTGAAAAGGAAAACGTGTAATATTATTTAAATACTTACATGTAGAAAAATTTTGGCAACGAATTGTTGGTGCCCAGAAATCCATGCCATGGATTGACCTTGAGATACATTTTGCAAAATTCAGATGTCAAAAATACACGCTCTTTATTAATTCATTTACATTATGTTCATTTATATGTTGTGTTGCATAGTGGCATTGTCTGCTTTCTCCTTTTGCCTGTCGTGGTCACCCCCTCAGTACTTGTGAAGTTATTTTTAAATGAGATAAGGCGGTCTATGTCAGATGATGTATAGGCCCTTTGAAACCTGAAGCAGGACGGCACTTCCGCCATTAATTATAACGGGGTGTTAATTCTCATTCAGAACACAATGAATAACTAGAGTAACTACTGAGTTTCGGTGGGGCGGTGGGTAACTTAATTGACGTGCTATTTATCTGCTGATTAACTGGAGCCCATCTTATAATGCTCTCGTAGTTAATGACTTACTATACGAAGCTTCCCTGTAATAAATTATTTTCTTTAAAAGTCAATTTGTAATGAAATAAATCTAAAACGAGTAAAAAACGACTGAAAGATAACATCTGATATCCTTAAAACTGGTTGTGGCAGGGATGGTGGAATAAAAATCCAGGAACGCGTATGATTAACCCAGGTATTAGGGTACGTAAGTGGAACAACTTCTGGGGTCTCAAATAGACTGTGGATCTGATGGTATACCGTTGGTTGCTACCCAGCAAACACGTCCGTTTCGGATCACGTGGCTAGCAAGTTTCTACCACATTATGACGTCTTAGCAACGTGCTAGCCACGTGATCCAAACGTGACGTGTTTGCTGGGTAAGAGATCCACAATTCCTGCATCCCGCCACAGATAACACATCAGATGGTGCCCATTGCCAGCAAGCGTCGGGCTCGTTATTAAGAAACCAATGACAATCAATGACCAATGTTTTGTCTAGCAACCTTTAGTTTAATCTAATACGTTCACCTCATCAACAAGCAGTTTGCTAGCATGCCTAAGTATCATGTGCGTATCAGCTGAGAACTTAGAATAAACACAGCCTGGCTGATTAGGGGAATTCCCAGTTCCAAATAGCTCCAGGAATTTTAGCGCATGCGCATGTCAATAAGCCAATAAGCTTATCAGGATTTGTCTTGGTGCAATGCTGGGACTTTGGAAGCCATTTTTAGTTTCTTTTTAAATATCAGAAGTGTATAAAAACAGGCGAACTTTCGGTAATTCCGGTGAATCGTCTAGGCTCCTTTGTAGAGCCAATCAACTGTCTAGTGGAGACTGAGACTGTAAATCATGTCTACGTCGCCCACTGAGAGGGACCTGCTCTTACCGCCACCTTACTCGGATGTACATGTAAATGTAGACAGGTATGTAATACCTGAGGGAATGTGAGGTGTGTGTGTGTGTACGTGTGTGTGTGTACGTGTGTGTGTGCGTGCGTGTGTGTGTGTGTTTGTCTTTGTGTGTGTGTGTGTGTGTGTAATGTGCATGCGTGCTATGTGCGTGTGTTGGTGTGTGTATTTGCACACAAAAGATTTGTTTTCATAGTGGGTGATACTTAGGGGTGAATAACAATCGTTTTGTCATGGGGGATTTTGATAATATTTCTAGTACAGGTCTTAACTATGGGCGGCCAAAAGGGCAAAAAATCATGTCGTCGATTCAGTTATGTTTCGTCGATTCACTGCCTTCCCATCGATTCAGTTTCAAGTTTAAACGATCCTGACATAAATTCAACATCTACTTTCGTCAATTCAACTGTCAAACATTTCTCATCTACGGTGTATTAAAACCAATGCTGTCACTATTTTCGTCGATCGTGTATCTATTCTCGTCGATCGTCTAATCTCGTCGATCGTCCGACTAATCTCGTCGATCGTGTAACTATTCTCATCGATCGTCTAATCTCGTCGATCGTGTAACTATTCTCATCGATCGTCTATTCTCGTCGATCGTCTCATCGATCGATCGCCAGAGGGCGCTGCGGTAGCACATTGGCCTATCACATGACTATCAAAATGGCAGACAACAAAATGATTGCTAGTGAAATAAGAACATTTTCTCAACAATTTCAATTTTAGTTGTTAATAATTAAAAGATATTCGGTTGTAGGGACATTATTTTCTAGTTGTGCTTAACTCTGACCATGGCTGGCCGAGTTAAAAATTACCGCGTGATTGACAGACAGAAGCACGTGTTGCTACCGCAGCGCCCTCTGGCGATCGATCGATGAGACGATCGATGAGAATAGTTACACGATCGACGAGATTAGACGATCGACGAGAATAGTTACACGATCGACGAAAACAGTTTGACGATCGACGAGATTAGTTACACGATCGACGAAAATAGTGACAGCATTGGTTTTAATACACCATAGATGAGAAATGTTTGACAATTGAATTGACGAAAGTAGATGTTGAATTTATGACAGGATCGTTTAAACTTGAAACTGAATCGATGGGAAGGCAGTGAATCGACGAAACATAACTGAATCGACGACATGAATTTTTGCCCTTTTGGCCGCCCATACTTAACACCTGCACTACCAATAGCAAATAACATTTAAATCTACTCAATGAACTTAAATTTTATTATTAAAATTTTAGAACCGAGGGTGTTTTTCAACCACTACTATTAATTACATCTCTTGCTTCACAATTTCAGTCACCATAGCCGCCCGAACCATTCCTATAAACAAAAAACCCTGCGATACATCGGCGTCCTGCATATAGTCGTGGGGTTGATCTTTTTTGCCCTAGGCATCTGTTTTGCCATTGATCTACCGGCGTTCTTTAAAACCGATCACAACAACCCTCCCTGGCCACCTACCACGAGATATCCTGACTTTAACCCCAGTTCGATTAATGCGCGTTGGTGGATGGTGCTTTCTGGTGGATTTTTGGTAATGTGACAGTTTTGGTTCTGTTATTAATTTTTGAAAAAGTTTCGAGTTTTGATTGTCTTATTGTCTGCCTTTTGGTTTTTTATGTACAGACAAACCGTGCCTGTACATATTGGCCATCACCTACGTCTGTCGTTTGTGACTTCGGATTTCCATGGGATTGAACAATTTTGCTAGTTACAAGTTCTAAATATATGTGTTACCTGCAGTGCATAATTAAACTTGGTGGTTATTGCCCTGTTAAGCAACATGTAACATTATATCAAAATTGAAAAAAAAACGTATTTGGGCATTGCTGCCATAATGACCATTAATGAAAAAACATGCAACTAACCATTCACTAACTTACATAAAAGAAACATAGGACTAAAATACAGCTGGAATTGGAAAAGCGATGTAATTGGTGTCTTTTTATGGAAGTTATTCCCTTTTTTTTTTTTTTTTTGTGAATTGTTAAATTTTCAAATATTAAAAGCCTGCAGCTTGATCACATTCTTTTTGTTATGTAATTTTTCACATCATAACATTTTCAAGATGTTACTTTGAACTTTCATGCACTTATGATTAATGCTCGTCATATCCCTAACATCCGTTTATTCCTCTTGACTTTGTTGTTAAGCATAATGTGTAATTGCATGAAAATTGTCAAAATAGTATTTTTTGTGCATCATTATTGACTGCTTTTTGTCGGTACACTTGAAAGCTGTCTTATTTTATTTAATGTTTTTATCTCATCTACATTCTACTTTATCAGCATATTTACTAATAGTGTGTGTGTGTGTGTGTGAGAGAGAGAGAGAGAGAGAGAGAGAGAGAGATAAACCGACATTAAAACACATTTATTCAAATAGTTGTCTGTCTTTTCAGTTCATCATCACTGGATTGTTTGGAGTAATAGCCAAAAGAAGAAGTACATGCTTGGTATATGTCCACAAAGTTTCTACATTTTTCTTAAATTTTTAAAATGAAGCAATATAGCTTAAAGGGTAAACCAAAATTATAAACTTTTCAGGGAGACTGTTTATCACATTTTAGATGGCATATTTCCCAACTGTGTATTAAAATTAGTAGTATTTATGTTAATGTCCAGATACAATTAGGATTCCATCGTAGTGCGTTTCTAAGCATGTGTTCCTTGGCGTTGATGTTTATACTGATAAACTGTGCGTTACAGATCGGTTTCTACATGACTGCATCAGCTGTATCTGCCTTGGCTGCCTTTGGCCCGTTATTAATCTTCTCACTGTCTGATATGAGAAATGTCAGTGGAGCTTTCGACAAAGATTGGACATATACCCCGGTATGTCCCTCTCTCTCTCTCTCTCTCTCTCTCTCTCTGACAAACTCACTCTTACGTATTCGCACATGCACGAATTCAGTGCAGGTTGGTTACGTTAATATCCGCTTAAAATATCAAGTTATTATTTTTCCCAATTTACGACTCTGGTAATCTGCATCTGAAAGAGCACATGCTTTCCAGTGTGCTAGTACGATTGTGTAAGTTATTTAAAATGTTATTTGAACAAAAAAAATCAGGTAAAATGAGTTAGAAAAACGTCATCAAGCAGGGATCTGTACAATAGGCCAAGGATGAAATAAGAACAATATTCTACTTTCAGGCGTGGACTGTGCTAATAAGTATGTATGTGATCATGGTTTCACTGGCCGTACTCGAGGGAATGTTGTCACTGACATCCTTCATACTCTGTGCCTTAAACGTGTGTCACTGTTGTGAAAAGGTGAGTCCACTTCAGAATACCAGTAACCCTATAATACTATAATTATGTCAATAATTTGATATAACAAAGAGAGTAGGAAGTGGATCATTTAAAGATCAAAGGCAACACCTTGTGCAATAGGGGCGTTTCACGGAAGGGGAAAAATATTTCCTGATGAGAAGCGGCAGGGGCGACCTCGGCCACACAAAGGGTTTTACAGTTATACAGCTCTTAAAAATTCTCTGTAATGTCAATTATATTAAGTAGAGAATTATTTTAAAAACTGACGGTGAATTGCCAAAAATATCCTGCAGTCGAGAACCAAAATGAGCGTGAAAAGCGTGAAAATATTTTGTGAAGATTAACATGGAAGCAGTGAAATAAGCAGTTACAGCCATTTGAACACACTGGGTCAATTAAAAAAATGAAAAATATTAATCATTGTAAGCCAAAACTCCCAAATCAAGATAACTATTGCGATTACGGAAAGTGATGACGTAATTTCATGGTTTAAAATGTATCACTTTATGTTTCAGCGCGAGATGCCGGCGCCGATGCCAGTTAACGCCGCGCCTGCACGGCCGGAAAGTCGAGGGCCGAATGCACCTCCGCCAGAAATCTAATTCCAGTATACTATTTTGCAATACATGTATATAGTGCTTCATGATGTTGCGAAATGCGAAATCTAGAGAAGAAAAATATACCAATTAAGCACGGCAGTATTTCTATTATACCTGTATTAATTATAATGCATTTATCTATTTCTAATTATGTCATTATTGACATTTCGCATATTCTACAGCGACAGTGCACAAATGTTCTGATCAAATGGATCACGTTTCAGCCAATGATGGTCGTTTCACTTCGGATGCGAGACAGTAAATTAAATTCACCACTGGTTTTGTTTCACTATAATAGTAGATCTCGCTACTCTACCAGTAAGTCAACCAGGAAGTGGCTGGATTGGTTGTCCGCTGAATATGTTCGCAACTGTGGTTCAAGTCTTTTCTGTTATTACTATCTTTATCGATACTTATTTAGCAATATTAAACGGAAATTCACTTTTTTACGTTTTATTGCTTACAACTTACTTGACTTTTATTTGAAAGATTTGAGTCTTTGTCAAAATACACAAAAATGATTTTCACCTTTGTACACATAGATTTTATGACAGTTCTTTTGTACAATTGGCAATAGACAAATCAAATATGCAATGTAAAGTTCATGTTCTTATGTCATGGCGGCAGTGAGCAATAAGTAATGCAGGCAGGGCCAGCAGGTCTAAACCTCTGGGTGGTACAATCTGTGCGAGGGCCTGGCACGAGCAAGCTCCACGTGTCAACGCTTGTGTATATTTCATGTTTTCGCGCCATTGTGGCTTGAATGATTTCCATGGAAACCACGCGCGGATCCTCTAGGTGGAGTTCTCCTTGTCTGTGGCCGTAGAAAAGACTTCGGATGAGCTGTAGGACAATTTCTGTAGCTGAAAAAGAAAAAAAAATAAAGTTATATTTTAATATAGCTAGTGTGTTTCATAGTAAAATTAATTTAAAAATAGGCGTAACATTTAAATATTTAAATGTAAAAAGGTTTTTGCAACGAATCATTGGCGCCAAGAGATCCCTAGAACGGACTTTGCTTGTCTTTGCGATACGTTTCTTCGAAATTCAGATGCCAAATTACATGTACCTTATTCCAAGCAAAATAATTTTATTGGATTTCTCTCTGTTATATGCCCGAAACGTTATCTCAAATTCCAAAGATCATTGAAACGACCGATAAAAATCAAATAAATTAAACACGACATATTCATATCACACAACACGAAAACACGAAACTAGTTTAAAATTTATAATGAAAATTGTTAATAATGCATTTTAAGGCCAAAATTTAAGAAACTGTTTTATTCTAAAAATTGTTGATAATGTCCTTATAAGTCCAAGTTTAAAAACTCTGTCTTACTTGATCCCCCGATGCTGCACAGTGTGACAGATACCCCAGATTTCTTTGTCATCAAATCCTTCTGTAGAACGCTGAAGAAACCCGCCAGAGCGTTCTTTGAAGCGGTGTACACTGACATATGGGGAGAGTTCATTGCACCTAAAACGCAATCATAATTACAGGCTTCACAAAAAGTGGCTTGTCTTAAGGATTTTTTCCTTTGGCCAAATATTTGGAGTCGATTTAAAAGCTATGCATGTATCATATCATTTTTTTAAATATGGCTTATTTGTCATTCATTTCCCGTAGTTTTACAGATTCATCACAACTGCCTGCACGGATGTCTGTACAAGGTGACCAAGACTCGAAAGGAAAAAACATACTGAATAAGAAAAAATTATAATAATAATAAATAAATAAATAAATAAATAAATAAATAAATAAATACTGATGACATAAAGAAATTCCATTTGCTTTCGAATAACCCATTTCCCATATTGATATATAAATACCAGCCATTGAGGTAACAACAGCGATTCGACCGCGGCTCTTCAGCAGCAGGGGAAGTGCGTGCGATGCCAGGTGAACATGTGACCGGAAGCCTATATCCATCCCCGTTGCTAGGATACTAAGATTGGCCTTGGTCCCCAGCCAAGGGTTACAGATAGTTATCAAGGCGTGTGTCAGAACTAATATGTCTAAACCACCAAGCCGCTCTTCTGCAAACTGAAAATTGGTAAACTGTAAGATTTGGTTGTCTTTTCGATTCTATTTCTTAACTTTTTACTCCACGGTCAAGTTATTGAATTTCGCGCCCTTACTTTCAATATATATAAACAATCAAATGGCCCCAAAAAACAGAATTGACATGTGTTAACTCTGCAAATATCCATTAAACATAAATCTAAAGGAACGCCAAATAAATATATGCCTGCACTCAAAGTACTTTTTCTTTATTTTTTCAACAACGAGGCGTTTCTTGCTTCTGGCATTCGACTATAATAAAAAAAAATCGTTGATTGAAGTGATCATTCGGAACTTAATGAAACTCGTAATTATCCATTCTAGATATAAACCGCTACTTGTACTTACCTTAACCACCCTCTCTGTGTCCGCCATCTTGGACATATCTGTCACCACATACACGTGGTTTGGTGATGGATTTGGAGAAAGTTTCTTACATTCTTTTTGTACCTATAAATAAAGTTCCCTTAAATTAAGAAGTTATTTGTGAACAATCCGATGCTGAAACCCCTCAGATGACAACAAAAAAGTCATTATTGACGTACCTTACACACGCTTTATCCCACTGGAATAATGAGTGTTTCTTAAATCCTAAATGTATCTTATTAATTTTGCTGTTTCGAAATAGAGTTATCAAAAGTAGGCCCTATTACAGTGCAACATCTTCTCAAAAGATTTAATGTTACAAACCTCATTAATAATCAGTTAATTAATTGAATTTCTCTTATCAATTGCAATTATATAGCACCGAGTATCCAACTGCTTGGAGGACTTTTTCCGCCCACTTTACTCCATTCTAAGTCGGAGTTTTGAAAATATTTGACAGTCAACATCAAATCCAAAAGCCAGTGTTCATGAATTACAATTATATCACTTTTTGGTGACGGGTATATGTGCGATTTGGGCAAAATTTGTTCTCCGGTCAGCTTCTAATGGATCGAGGCTGTACAATGGATATAGCTATATAAACGGTATTTTATTTTACAATTAAAATGCTACTACGTGTACTTCTACTACTACTACGAGTAATAATAATAATAATAATAATATGTCGTTTGGTGATAAAAACTTTGCGACATTGTGTGTCTGTGCCTTTTTCAATGCTTTCTCTCTGCCGTCAACCAGGACAAGAATTGCTCCCATCTTGGCAAAATGGTATGCCATCTGTTCTCCAATGCCAGTGGAAGCTTCGGTCACTAAAACCCTCTTGCCCTGTACTTCGGCTGAAATGTGAATGTATATCATAATATAGACAAAGATGGGTCAGTCTGTTATGTCTCCCTCTTATGTCTAGGATAGTTACATAAAATAGGTACATGTACATGTCTGTCAACCGGGGCTCGGTGCTGGGGTGCCCCTGCCAATTAGAAAAGAATGACAGATGGAATTTTGAGTATGTTTCGGTTAGTTTGTTTAAATTTAAATAATATAAACGGGTGGTGTTACGTTCTTAAATACGCTGAAAATTGCTGAATAATTGTCACCAAATTAATACTCTCATCTCTGGATGGAATCTATCTACAAGAGGTAAATTAAACAAATGTCTTTGGGAGGATATGGATCGAAGAGCAATTTAAATAATTTTTGGTGTTCTTCATTGAATAAAAGTACATACACGGGTCAAAGTCATTCCTGTATGTCACAGCCACCAATGCGACTAACGCGGCCAGGGCTGTTGCAGTTAATTGTAAGTTTATCGCCATTCCGATATCTGTATCATCTTGTCTGAAACAAAAAATGTGTGTGTACTGGAAAAGCCAATTATTAATAAATGAAAAGCTGTTGCATTGACTGTGCATGAAAATCAGAATTTATATATTGCAAGAACCTTCAAAACCCACACAACTCTCTATGAGAGAGAGGGGGGCAAGTACATGGAGAAGAGGGAGATGAAGAAAGGGCTCCTAACTTCCACACGCAATTATTAGCATAAAACACACACACACACACACACACACACACACACACACACATTAAACAAGCTGATATGTGTTCCAGTATATCTATAGCATTATCATACATGTACGTACAGTTGCCCTCACTTACTACCCGTGAATCATGGGGTCTTTTCATTTTTTAGAGCACCCCGGAGGGAAGGAAAGAATCGACGAGTGGAAGAAGAGGAGGACGAATAGAAACATAACCACTGAAATGTGCTACTCATCACGAACAGTTACGCTCTAGAATAACGTTAACAAGACGCAAATCACTGTCATCGCATCCGAACATGTCTAATTATGCTGCAACAAGATACTCACCATCGTGATTCACCTGTACAGGTAATTGCAGGTAGAATATATGGCATGCAAACAGCATTAAATACAACACCGTGTCTCCGTATCCTCATTGCGAGTACACAGCTTCATCCTCTTGATCAAATGCTGCTTACATCACTGGCGGACAGGACTGACATCTCCATCAATGTGCTGCTAATAACATCCTTAGGCCCTTAACCCCACGTTAAGAACAGAGATGCTAAAGCCTGTGGAGTTATGAACTGTCGCAGCCTTCACCTGTGTCGCGACACAGCACGCGTTGTTAAGTAGGTCATTCACAGTACATGTAGGTCACGTTAAAGGAAAGCAAGGAGGGCGCGTGTCTCACCTTTATTGATAAGAAGTGCATTGTTTACATAAGGTTCATTCGAAGGCCCACAGGTGGGGTTGGACAGTTTGGAAACAATAGCCCGTTTGAACGGCAAAGGATCGCTCTATATCAAAATTAGGTCTTAACCCAGCATGCCATTTCATAAATCCGTTCATCTACATGTACAAGTAAGAATGTGATTATTTATTATTTATTTATTTATTTATTTTAGAAAAATCAGGCCTCTCTTTGAAACCGCTGGCTACAGGCTGAAATATGTGTGTTAGTGTTGTACTGGAAGAAAGGCATAAGGGTACGTCGTGTATTCACAACATGTGTCTCACTGCACTGGTGCATGTACCGGGGGAAAGTGCCCACTGAGTATCACTGATGTTATATTCACCGAAATTAAAATAAAATATTAATGGAACTATTACATGTACTAACATCATTATCATCATTATCATCATCACCATCATCTTATTATTATTATTATTATAATTATTATTATTATTATTATTCATCTTTCTTTCGTTTACTGGTTAAATGGGCGCATAACCCTCATAACTCTCTCTGAATACGGTATCACAACCATTGTATTCTTAATACATCTAATTGGCTTACTTTGAACCAGGTAAGGAATCAATCCCTAGATTGGGTTTGCATTACTGGATGTCTATTTCAAATTAGTCATCATTATACTAATGTCACTTGGGCTTATTTTCTGAAAGAGACGTCATTCGACATCAATGATACCGTGCAGTTGCATAACATGCACGTGGATGGGTTTCAAACCAAATCAGGACGACCAATCAGCCACCGAATTTGCACGTGCTCTGATTAATCCTGCTTCTAATAATTTGTTAATTGGCCACGAGGGGCACATTTTGTTTCGTGCGCTCAAATCGATCAATCCCTCAGTGATGGACATCGAGAAGATTGCGTGCTTTTCCCGGCATAACTAAGTGATAGTAGGCTAGAATATAAGACGTTTCACGCGCTAGTCTGATCCTTTTTGAAGTCTTTTAGAAGACGAACCGTTTGAAAAGCGTTGCCAAGCTGACAGAGCTTTTCAGTTTTATTATTATTTATTAATTAACTGATTGTTTGTACGTAATTTATTTGGTACGAGGGTCGGCACAGCAGACATGCATTCTATGTATGCCAATGGGCCAATTGACCAAATGACTACTTGACATTTAGATCAAGGAAGCCTTTACCGCTGACAAGCTGTACACCAACATTAAGACTGCAGATATTCTAAGCAAGATCATCGTAAGCACTGAATGAAAAGGTGTTTTGCCGTTTAACTTGCAACGACATGGTTCTGAGCACAAAGCTGCACTTGCACTCCTATCGACAGAAATAAATGGCAGAAAACCAAGGAGGCAAAGTGGAAATCCTGACTTCCATGTATGTGTAGGAAACGGATTTGAAAATCGAACAAAAGAACTTTGAAACATGATTCTTGGAAATGTGACACTCACGACTGACTTAGACTATGCCCGATGGAATGATTCCCTGGAAAGTCACTCCTTCATGAATGGCACCGATGCGGCAAACAACGGATCAACTTTGACCAGCTCAGAAGAGTTGATTGCCTGGACACGTTTGGGTATGCTCGCAGTGTCGATCATCGGTATGCTTTGCAATGTTTTGATCATTCTTTTGGTCACTTTGAGAAAAGAGGTTAGAAAATGCCCAGTGTCCGTCTATCTGTCCGCCTTGGCCATCGCAGACTTCATTTTCTGCTTGGATTTATTACGTTGGTATTTGGAATGGGCTGACTTAATTCCAATATCATGGGGGGATATTTATTGCAGCATTGCCAATTTCCTTGGTCATTTTGCAACGGGTCTTGCGCACTGGATTATCTTCTGTATCTCAGTAGAAAGAATGGTCAGAGTAGTTTTCCCGTTCAAAGCTAAGACCCTGTTGACTGTGAGACTTGCCAGGATCGGCGTTGCCGTGTTCGTATGCTGGTCCGCCCTGCCGAACATTGCCCGCTTTGTTTTCGAGCGACAAATACCTTTATACAACACCACGTGGATTTGCTGGACATTGCAAACCGATACCATAGGGCCGCTGTATTTTAATCTCTTGCGAATACTGATAGAAACGCCTCCAGTGTTTTTGGTCATCGTCATCAACTGCATCACGGTGTTCAAACTGCGTTCCCACTGGACAAGAATGAAAAAGGGGGGTTTAAGGCACCAGAGTGAACACTGTCCTGGTGGGGTGCAGATTTCGCCGCAGGAAACGGCGCTGACTGTTACTTTGGTCGTCAATGGGATGTTGTTCGTCGTCTTGGAAACGCCTTACTTAGTAACGGAGTTCATAGCGCACTACAGGCCATCAGATGACATTACCGCACTGCACTTCATAGTGGGGAATGCCTTCAAATTGGTAAGCGGTATTGATCATGCTTGCAACTTTTTCGTCTACGTTATCGGATCTCCCATGCTTCGACGTGAATTTTGCGCCATTTTCTCATGTAACGGAGGCACCCAGCAAAGCAACCCCGCGGTGGCACTTAATTCCTTGAAGTCTGCTGGCGACATGCAAGGTAGTAGTTATACCCTAACGTCTGTCAGCACTCAGCAGTCTTGTTGTACCACGAGTAGCATGGACACGGCTTTGTCTGAAGGCAAATAGTAAAATAACGAAACTTCTCAAAACAACGTGGCTCTGATTGTGAAATGACGGCATTCCGGCCCTATGAATGGTAAGATTGATAAATGCTAACTCTTAAACTGACATTGTAGTTTGGATAATGTATTGGCATATTACACATGAACATCGGAATAATTGTTTCTGGTACATGATATCCAGATATTGTGATTAAGATAATTTAACAATGGTTATAAAGAAACGTATCATTTTGTTTTGATTGTTTGGTGAAGGTGTTGTACTAAAAAAAAGACAATTAATTGTGTGATTTATAAATGTTGTCGACTTAGGTTGTATCTTATGGCAAAGTAGTAAGATGCAGTAATCAAAAGCAATTTGTCTTACCAAAGACGTCAAATGTACAAGAATAACAGGCCCAAGAAAATAGATCCTATAATCATGATGGTGTAGACATAAGCCTTAGCATTACTTACGGATATCATCTTTTCTATTTAAAAAAATATTTATGTTAACCTAATATCACTCATTCCGTGAAACCTCGTTGGATATCTAAGCATATGTAGAAATTCATTGTTTAATGATTTTATAAGTTATTCATTTAATCAATTGATTTATTAATTCATGATTTATACATACATTTTCTTCTATTATATTTGTTAAAGAGTATGTTGCATGTGATTGAATAAAAGTTTATGCACTCAAAAAATTAGTTTCCCCCTACCTTCTCGAGGGGGCATGCCAGACCATTATTCTGATTACATTAACGGCACTTTGTATAGTATGCCCACAGATATAGGTCGATCCTGCAGGTGCGCTTACTTTATTCTGAACGCTTCCATCTATGATGTGCGCTTGCAGCCCCAGTTCCCATGTGCGGATTATAAGTGCGTAGTAACATTGTATTATTAAAACTTATTATAATATAACAATTCACTCGTCCTTCCTCTGCTGGTTTGATGCTCTCAATCTCTCATCCTCCCTCTGCTGAGTTGAAAGGTTCCCAGTGCACCATGGCCTGTTTACAAAATAGTGTGGCACACCTTGACCTGGTAGAAGCCATGATGTCACCCTATCAGCGTCTTCTGTAGCTCCTTATAACCTGCTGTTTCCCACGGTGCGTTGATGCATGTAAGACTGCATCATTGCGAATAAAGGGACCGAAGTGTCTCCATCAAGCATATGGTAAAAAAAAACAAACCGGGAGAACAGTTCTGAAAATGGGCACCCTAAATGTAATCGGTATTCTGGTCGCGGTGGTGATTGCCGCTGGCCACACACAAGGCGTAGACCAAGATGTTTTTACTAAACAGATGTTGCTGTACAAACTGAACTATCAAGTAAGTCTTGCTCGGTAAATCTCTCCTCCTCTCTCTCTCTCTCTGTTGGTTACAGAATAACTAATTAAAATACACTTTGTAAAATAAAACCGAAATCAACTTTATAGCGCTGAGAAATCGCGGACGATGACCAAAGTCAATGTATTCCCTTTGGTTTCATGGTAACATAACCAATCAGTTAGCTACCTTGATTATAAAACACCGCCATTCCGTTATCCATAACAGGTGAAACAAATGGACCAGGAACTTTTTACCAGATGTCCAGGGTTTTTCACCCACCCTGACCATTCGTCCATGGGAATTATTGGCCGTAGAGCAGCCTACGGGGACGCCTTCTTGGACCTGGAGATTAAGTTGGCCAGTAAGACGCTGGATGACATGAAGAAAAAGTACTTGTTGTGTTTGGAGAATCCGAGCGCTTTTAGGGGACCCACGACTACTAAACCTACAACTACCACTACTACCACCACTAAACGCACGACAACCATGAAAGCGACTACGACTACTTCTGCTATTTACTTCGGTGAGAAAATAGCATGCCAGATATTTTCAATCTCGTCCCTAACTTGACAGGTTTAACCATCGGGTTTTAATATTACAATAAACATTTAGACAAATGAATATTGATTCATGCCAAAGACAAACAGTCAACAAGTCCCTATTAGACTTAAGTGGTAAATCTCTCCTCTCAGACATCCAGAATGGGAAGTTCTCAATTATATATTAATTGCTTATTGAATGGCATTTGGTATCTGTCAGTCAGTGAGTTGCATTCGTCGTTTTGATACCATTTAGGTCTTCAGTTCCCTGACCGTTCATTATCTTGCAATAGCAGTCTTTAACCTGGTTTAACTGGCCCAAAGGAAGTTATGGAAATCCGAGAACTTAATGCAGACCCTAGTAATTGTTTATGATAGCATACTGACATTGTCTATGTTTTAATTATTCCAGAAAATTTGCCAAACTAAAAACAATGCTTTTAGCAAATGGCCATCCGTGTCATATCTCCTACTGTCGTAGCATTTAGGTAGAATCAAGGGGTTATACACTATGAAAAGGGCAAGTTCCTTTTTTAGGTGACTTTGGTTTTAAAGTTCTCCGATCCAAAAACATCACATACAGAAACTACGATTTTCTGGCACTGGAGGTGAGAATTCCGGACGACAGGCAGAGCAAGTCAATGAATTGGTGCCGCGACTATCAGCTTTTATGCCAAAGTCTCTCTCGTCGTCCGACCGGGTGTGGGGAAAGATTTAAATCTACATATGGATACCAACAGTAAGAGCTTTAACGCATTTCTAATGTTTTACAATTATTTTTAATCCTGTAAAGATGGCACTTTATGAATAGGAGTTTAAAATATTATCACAACACCGAAAGACAAAGATGCTTTTCATCTAAAACTGTGGATTAAAAGCTGCGCCATATTAAACATGTATATTTCATCTTCAAGGGAAACAAGTCTGGTGAATCCACAATTCGCTAAATGTGAATGTGTGTGTTGTGTGTGTTTAGGGGGTGGGCACACGTTAACTTATTCATTTTCATAATTATTTTCATTATTATCATTATTATTATTATTATTATTATTGGGAGAGGACGTACCCCAGAATTTAAGAGGTAATAGGGGGCACATTCCCGCTTTGCCCTCTCTTGTGTCCGTCAGTAGCAATTAAGTGTTTATTTTTTAAGCTGCGTTGGTGCTTAAAGAACGCTCGGATTTTATATCACAATATTTTGGTTATTGAATTCCAGTTGTGCGTCCGATTACAACTCTGACATGGACATCGGGGACGTCCTTAGCTGCAATCCTTCCAGAAACATAGCGTCTGCAGTCAACCTGGCGTTCGGTGATGGCAAAGCCCCAGCAAAGAGCAGCTATAACGCCTTTGGCTTCCATTCTTGCACCAGTCATACCTGCCAAAAGAGCATCGAGAAAAGTGACATAGCATTAAGTTATATGAAGGGGTCGTGGCAGAACAACGGGACTGAGACCATCATGTACACGCTGTGTCGTTGACCAATGGTATCCACACAATGGCACCACAGAAGCACGTTATTTGTGCGTGATATCACTTCGTCTATCAAATGATTTTCTATTTTGTGATTGACGTCAATCGTCAAAATCTAATGAGAGACTAAAATATTAAAGGTAATGCAGTGTTATCCTCTTTTGTTAACGTAATTATAAAAGATTATAAAAACTACTGGTACCTTCTTTTACACGGTCGCCATTAAGAACACTCTGACTTATTGCAGTTCCATTTCTTTAACATATTAAGTTTAAAAAAGGAGGACAGGTAGATTTTAAAAGTTTTTGGTGGAAGAATCGTGAGTAAAAATATTATACTGTCCATGATAATCATTACTTAGAGGTAGTTTAAATAATTCGTTAGCCAGGTGAGATAACACATTAGACGAAAAAACTCACTGCTCTTAATGTTAACATTAGCATGCAAAAGAGAACGCTGCCTTAATATAACGGTTTGATGGAGCTACAACTCACTGTAAAGCAAATATCATTCTATATAATAGAGACCCGGAGAAGTCACTTACAAGTACCTATACAAATGCTGGTAGAACTCGTAAAAAAGAATTTAAAATTACACTCCTATTACACACATGAACATAATGGAGACATACATGTACACGAACTTCGAATATTTGACAGACCAGAATGCTCTTACTCCAAGTAATAGAAGGCCTAAGGTAAACCCAATTATATCATATCTTCTGTATTGCTTTGAAATCGTCAACGTACACACTGCACCATGTATAACTGAGGATGACGCACCGTGACCTTAAAGACACTATCAGAGACCAATGTGCCCCTGCAACCTGTTTTTTCCCACGACACTCCCTAAATAGTATCAGGAATTTACCAATTGATACAGAGGTGACTACAGAGAGCAAACGAGAAGGACGTAGTGCTTGGAATAAAAATTGAAGGATAAAAGTTCTGAAAATGGGCTCCATAAGTGTAATAGGTTTTATAATGACCGTGTTGATTGCCGCTGGTCATACAGAAAGCGTGGACCAAGATGTATTTACTAAACAGATGTTGCTGTATAAACTGAACTATCAAGTAAGCCTTGCTTTGATATTCTCTGTTTCTCTTTTTTTTAATGTGACAACAACTTCAACTTTGATAGAATTCCTTCTGTTATGAATCTAACTAACCGAAACCAAAAATCTTAAATTCCGGTAGCATGGCGTAATCAATGCAGTTAAATCATTCAAATAGTACTTTGGCAATCTTCACAATATTTTCTTTGATTTCGTGGTAATTGAACTATCCTGCCAAAATAACATCACCATTTTGTTAACATACACCAGGTGAAACAAATGGACCAGGAACTTTTTACCAGATGTCCCGGGTTTTTCACCCACCCTGACCATTCGTCCATGGGGATCATTGGCCGTAGAGCAGCCTACGGGGACGCCTTCTTAGATCTGGAGATTAAGTTGGCCAGTAAGACACTGGATGAGCTGAAGAAAAAGTACTTGTTGTGTTTAGAGAATCTGAGCGCTTTTAGGGGATCCACGACTAATAAACCGACAACTACGTCAACAAGTACAACTACCTCTACGACTAAACGCACGACAACCATGAAACCGACTACGACTACTTCTGCAGTTGACAATGGTAAGCTGACAATAATCTCACCACTCCTTTGGGCTACTCTTAGGTTTATAACGTTATTGGCAGGTTACAAGCATCAGGAGTAACAAGAGCTAAAGCAAATAATTCTTTCATTAATAACATGTGCCGTTAGAGTAACATACTATACGGTTAGCAAGTAGTTTATGGTTTATAACTTGTACATAACATTTTATACATTGCATCTCATATGGTGGACGGTGATCTGCTTTAGTTATGGCTCTTGGTATGTTTTGTAAAAGTTTTCAGTCCAATAGCAGTGCGTTATTAAGTGGTTCAACTGGTCAAAGAGACAATATGAAAATCTGGGTTCTAAATTCAGATATTCATAATTGGTTTTGAACCTTGCAAACTACCCTTCTATATACTAATGTAATATTAGAAAATTTTCAAACCTAAAAGGCGAGAAAACTTTGAGGTGAGAAAAATTGTGTGCCACATCTACAACTGCCTTAGTACCGTTGTATCAGGAATGGTAGTCCTAGGAATGGAACTCCGGGGTCGCATATTATTAGTACAGGCTAGGGTTAGCCGGAGTATTATTATATGAGACCATTTATGTCACCTGCTCAAAGTACTGGGGAACAGACTACTGTTCCCAGCGAACAATCATTCTTACCACACCGGTACGGGGAAGTAAAATATTCGAGTAAAAGGACGTATTTCTTTACAGGTGAATTTGGTTTCAAGGTTCTTCGAGCCAAAAACATCACATACAAAAACTATGATTTTCTGGTACTGGAGGTGAGAATTCCGGACGACGGACAGAGCAAGTCAGTAAATTGGTGCCGCGACTATCAACTTTTGTGCCAAAGTCTCTCCCGTCGTCCGACCGGGTGTGGGGAAAAATTTCTATCAACATCAAATTACAAAAAGTGAGAATTCAATGTTTTCACATGTTTCTTTGTGAAGATTATATAATTATATATAGATTATAGATATTTAGAGGGGGAAGGGACCGACGCTAAGAGGGGCAACTGATACCCCTGCGCCCATCATTGTATAAATATTTTATATTTTAAGCTGATAAAATTGATGCTAACAAACTAAGAATTAATATCATGTTTTTCGTTTGCTAACAGTTGCGCTTCCGACTACAACTCTGACATGCGCATTGGAGACGTCCTGAGTTGTAATCCTTCCTTTAACGTAGCGTCTGCAGCCAACCTGGCGTTCGGTGATGGCAAAGGCCCAGCAAAGTACAATTATAATGCCTTTGGCTTCCATGTCTGCAACACTCACACCTGCCAAAAAAGCATCCAGAAAAGTGACACTGCATTGAGCTATATGCGGGGGTCTTGGAAAGACAACGGGACTGAGACCATCATGTATACACTGTGTCGTTAAACAATGCCAGGCATCTACTAATTGACGTTACAGTCGTACGTTATGTGTGCGCAGCATCACAAATGATTTGCGGTTTTGTGAATGACATCGACCGTCACAATCTTATGAAAAGTAAAACATTCAAAGTCATGTAGTATCCTCCGCTTTTGTTTACGTAAATACAAGAAATTATACAAACTATTGGTATGTTCTTTTACACGACCGCCATTAAGAACACTCTGCTTTAATGCAATTCCATTTATTTACTAGATCAAGTTTTAAAAAGGAGAACAGGTAGAATTTATAAGCTTTTGAACATGGTGTGTCGTCGTCAGTGAAAGTAAAGTTTTTGGTAGAAGAATCGTCAGCAAAAATGCTATGTTCTCCACGATAACAGGTACTTAGTGGTAGTTTAAAGAATACGTCAGCCAGGTGAGGTAACACATTCAACGATAACCCACTTCTCTTTAAGTTAACATTAGTATATAAAAGAGTACGATGCCTAAATATAGTGGCATGATCTTCCTAAAATTCACTGTAAAGCAAATATCCGTTTATATAAGAAAGACCTGAAGAAATCACCAGTTCCTATACAAACGCAGGCAAAGCCATAAAGTAGAACTACGAAGACACTCCTCTTACACACAGGATCATAATAGGGATATACATGTACACATGCTTCCATATTTTGACAAACCAGTATTGTCATAGCAAGTCACTTAATGTAAACCGAAGTGTCTCATCTCCTCTGTATAGTTTTGAAATGATCTACGTTCACCCAGTACATCTTAAAATGACGCGTCCTGACCTTAAACACGCGTTCAAACGCTATCAGAGACCAATGTGCCCCCGCAACCTGTTATTTCTCACTACACTCCCTAAAACGTATCACGTATCACGGATGTATATATGCAGAGGTGAGGACAGAAAACATATGGAAAGGACGTACAGGTAGGACGTGGATTAAAAATTGAAGGCTAAACAGGAGAAAAATTCTGAAAATGGGCTCCGAAAGTGTAATCGGTTTTCTAATCGCCGTAGTGATTGCCACTGTCCATGCACAAAACGTAGATCAAGGTATTTTTACCAAACAGATGTTGCTGTACAAACTGAACTATCAGGTAAGCCTTGCTTTGATATTCTCTCTCTAGCTCTCTTCTTAATGTGACATCATCTTTAATTTTAAGTTTAAATCCCGATAGTATGTTGTAATCTCTGCAGTCAAATCATTCAAATAAGACCATGACAATGTTCACAATAATTTTTTCATTCCCTGGTAAGATATAATTCCTGATTATATAAATTCACCTGCCTGTTTATACACACCAGGTGAAACAAATGGACCATGAACTTTTTACCAGATGCCCAGGGTTTTTCACCCACCCTGACCATTCGTCCATGGGGATCATTGGTCGTAGAGCAGCCTACGGGGACGCCTTCTTAGATCTGGAGATAAAGTTGGCCAGTAAGACGCTGGATGACCTGAAGAAAAAGTACCTGATGTGTCTAGAGAATCCAAGCGCTTTTATGGGACCTACGACTACTAAACGCACGACAACCGTGAAACCTAGTACGACTACTTATAGGGAAAAGGGTAGGGTGACGGTTATATTTCGAATTTCTTTAGATACTCCTACCCTGTAAACATAATAGTATTCAAGAAACTGAGCAACAAGCTTAAACGGAACATTCCTCTCACACTCCTCTCATAATTCCATTATTAACATATGTTACAAGAAAAGCAAACGATAAACGTGCTTTTTAATATATATATATATATATATATATATATATATATATATATATATATATATATATATATATTGGTTCTTGATATTACAACTTCCTACTAGTTGATCATGCATACGTATACACTGTAGTAATGGGCGTTTTTTTTTACATTACGTGTACAACTGGTCAAACTGAAAATCCGGACGCGACGTATAGTTCCAGATAATTGCTTCTTAACTTCATCTGTTTGCCAAAGGTGCTGTCAGAAAACTGGAAATACTTAAAATTACACCTTATGACCTATGGTCCTAGCTGACATATCTCATATACGGGGGAATAAAATACGAATAAAACGACGTTCTTTTTTAGGTGAATTTGGCTTCAAGGTTCTTCGAGCCAAAAACATCACATACAGAAATTACGAGTTTCTGGCACTGGAGGTTAGAATTCCGGACGATGGGCAGAGCAAGTCAGTGAACTGGTGCCGCGACTATCAGCTTTTATGCGAAAGTCTCTCTCGTCGTCCGACCGGGTGTGGGGAAAGATTTCTATCCATATCAGGTTACAAAAAGTGAGAATTCAAAAGCTTTTTCTTTAGTTTTATAAAGATAATATGTGTTCAATAATCTTGGGGGAGGTGGGGGAGAGAAGGGAATCCCGACTTTAAGAGGGCTGACGTGAACCCTGCACCCGTCATTGTAAAAGCATNTTGGGGGGGGGGGGGGGGGAGAGAAGGGAATCCCGACTTTAAGAGGGCTGACGTGAACCCTGCACCCGTCATTGTAAAAGCATATATATTTTCAACCGGTAAAGTCGATACTAAAAACGTATTGAATTTACATATTGTTTTTCGGTCATTTGATTCCAGTTGCGCTTCCGATTACAACTCTGACATGCGCATTGGAGACGTCCTGAGTTGTAACCCTTCCACTCGCGTAGCGTACGCTGCAAACCTGGCGTTCGGTGATGACAGAGGCCCAGCAAGAAGCAGTTATAACGCCTTTGGCTTCCATTCCTGCAACAGTCACACCTGCCAAAAAAGCATCCAGAAAAGTGACACGGCATTAAGTTACATGAAGGGGTCGTGGCAGAACAACGGGACTGAGACCATCATGTACACGCTGTGTCGTTAAACATGGCATCTACAAAATGGCACTACAGACGTACGTTATGCGGGTGCGATATCACTTTGTCTGCCAAATGATTTTCTATTTTATGATTGAAGTCGACCGCCAAAATTTTATGGGAGAATAAAGCATTCGAAATCACACAGTTAGCCCTGCTTTTGTAAACGTTTTGGATAGCTTATACAACTATCTTCTCTGTACACAGCCCCATTAGGAACACTTTGCTTTAGTTCAATTTCTTAAATATGTCAAATTCGAAAAAAAAGTCATGAGGAGGACGGATGTGTAGAAGACGCGGTCTTCACATTACGCAAGATGGTGAAAGGATTTTGGTAGATTAATCGTTAGTTAAAAACTATAGGGCTACTGTCCGCAAGAATCTATACCTGGAGGTAATTAATACGTTACTCAGTTGAGTAAACTACCTTGTCAAATATTCACTGGTAAAGTCTTAACGTGAATATACATAGAGTACGGATTAAGTTCCCTAACGACTTTATGTTCCTCATCGTAAAGCAAACGTGTCCAAATACCAAATACTTAACGAAGTCACTGAAGGAGATAATTCAAGACAGAGGAAAGAGCAAGCCAGTGAACTGGAGGCGCGACCATCAGCTTTGATGCCAAAGTCTCTCTCGTCATTCTTATGGTTATGGGGAATATTTCGGCTGAGAATTTGAAAGTATAACTAAAGATTTTGTAAACATATAAGAATAAATGATATTCATAATAAAAAGTGCTGAACTGATGGTCTTTCATGACAACGCGGAAATCCACATAAACGTCCGTTCACAAGTCATAAAGAAATCTTCTATGTTCCCATAACTCAGTAGGCGTGCCAGACATCAGAATCGCTTAAGCTGAATGCAATTTAGCGAGAACCGCCTCGGAGATAGACTGGCCCCGCAAGATCGAAGTAGGTATGGGAACGGGGTCTTTGTCGCTTGCCGCATGGTCGATTACAGCTGAAATCCTACAGTGTTTCATGGCATATAATTTTAATTTCGGCCCCCACCCTTCATAATACCCACCCTCAGCCTTGGCCATCAGGTGCCGGGTAGTATGTTTTACATGTATGTCTTGTGTTGTTCATGCCTGTAATCATATATTACAAAATGGAAGGTGTTTAATGATATTATTGTTTAATCACGAGCCGGCGCATGCGTATGCCCAAGTTGACAATTGCTATCGTCTTCAATTAGTGAGAGATTTTACTCAAAGCTCTTTTTTTTTTTTTTTTTGCTTTAAAGCATTTTTATTCACACGTTACAACCTTTATGACTACAATTGTTGATATCTCCTATTTTTACGCAACATTATTTATAGTTAACTATTCTTGTAACTTCTGATTCATTATCGCGTACTGCGCTTATCGCGTTTTCTTCAATCTATATTTTCCTTCCAAGTGAAATAGACATTACTGCACTTGTTTCAAAGTCATGACAACATTGCACCTCTTGATCGACTCCACAAATTAATCATTCTAATACAATACCGTATTTCATCTAACAACTGCACAAACCAACGACTGTCATCTTAATACAACTGCAATACTAAAAGTGCGGCTAGCCCGGTTTCTTTATATGCTCTCAAACTCCAATATGATAAACACACTTGGTCTCGTAAATCGGGTTGTCCACCGCTTGATATACTTATAAGAATACCAAACTTCCAATTATTGAATTCTCTCCGAAAAACTTATAGACAATCGCAATTAAACTGGTAATACATGTAACAAACAAAGTCTACATTTCTGTAGCATGCCAGATATATATATACGCACAGTACAAATAAAATATATATTAGATATTCTGATTATTTATCAAACTCAGACCGTAAAGTTTCGAGTCATCTTTACCAAGAAGCAATTATAAGCAAAAGCCTTTTGATTCATTTTGTCAAGGTGTCTTCAACTACATGTGCAAATCTGCTCTGTCAGTAAATGGGCTTCTGTATACATGACTAGGGATCTTACATTAGATAACTCATAGGACTATGTATCTTGTCTTCAAACTGATAAATACATTAATTAAGAATGAGAAATTATGTACAATAAAAGAGTGCATCTCAATACTATGAACATTGATTTCCCTTGAACTTGTAATTCAGATCATATTTGTATTAAAGATGTATACGAAGCGCACACCCGCACCATACATGTATCATTTACTCTCAGTTCTTATGTACATTTAATTATTATGGAAAATCATCCCGTTATGTTCAATAAATGTGCATAAAAAGTGCCTTTAAATACTACACACGGTGTTTTCCTTTTAAATAATATTTATGTCTTAAATTATTACAGTGACACATTAGAGATTTTAAAGCTAAATATAATGTTTGTGATCACATGTAAACATAAAACAAATTACTCCTTTTATAATAATAAGCAGGAATAATAAAGGTATTTTCTATCACTGCAAATATACACTCGTTTACCATATGGTATCACAAGGGCCTTTAGTAGCCCCTGTTACAAAACTGAATAAGTGTCGAGTCAACATTGAATATGTAACAGACTCGCAACGACTCCTGTGGCCCAATCTAAAACTGCTGGTTGGCATGTAGATATATATGGACTACACTAACAATTTTATATACATATTAAAACATACATGACTACTTAGTAATTCTGTTGATTTAGATCTCACATCTCTTTTTGAACGACACTTTATTGTCGCCCTATTCATTTTTTCGTAATTAGAAACAGTCGACAAGAACTTGCATTCCCAGAGATTTAGATCGATCCATCTGGATCGACCTAACCCCCTGGGGGTTCACACTAAATTGCAGTCAGCCGAGCGATCACGAGAGTTAATTACCCCCTTACAGCTTTAAGTAGGCGGGACAGACGCAGTAATGTAGTGAGACTACCCACAGGGATAGATGGATCTAAAATCTGTGAGAATGTGCATGCAAATCTGCTCAATATAAGAATGAAGGTTAAGAAGGCTGAATTTTTCAACCGTAGGCTTTTCGGTCCGTACGTGACCACAATTGGTACACTCGAATTTTGTCGATTTTAACAACCCTAATGGACCGGACCAGTAATGGGACAATATAATCCAGATAATCCCCCACTGAAGTCCATCCACGAAAGAATCAAGATGTGGGCCAAAGTTGAAAGGTTGAAAAATATTTAAGAATAAGGAATTGAAAATAACAACTAAAATTAGAGTTATAGGGATAAAAAGAGTGCGACTGAAATGTGGCTCTTGCAAAGAAGGTTGTGCATTTCTTGTGCAGAACTAGTAACGTTCCCAATAGAACACGCACTCAAATGAAGACGTTACTGACTATGTCTACTGCCTGCTTGTTGCCCGGACGAGCATTTGGTTTACTTCTGTGCTGCAGTGCTGTCGTATATGACAGACTAGCTACAAGGAACAATCTCTCTCTCTCTCTGATTGAAACGTCCATATTAGTTCCCACAGTAGGTACCTCAATATAAACATCTCACTATACATGTACACATATAAAAACTGTGATCCTTCAACTCAGTTGAGTTTCAATAGGGGAGTATATGTAAGAGGCGTATTAATGCAGCCCAGTTTGTCTTTGTTTTATATAATTTCAATTGTGGCCGCATGAATTTTCAACGAAACATAATATTAAAGATAAAGCAAAATATCATTCATCTGTCTGTCATCACAAGCAATTGCATCTTTTTACGGTCAAATCCTGTTTTAAAGGCAATCCAATCAAACACACGGCTAAGTGGCACAGCTACAGTGAGAAGCATGTCATTTTCAATACATCCTCCAATTAACATTGCTAAAGGTTTTCTTTGGGTCTGATCTTGATCCGCCGTCGTTATAATGGATCCACTGTCGCCGTCAACGGAGAAAGAAGTGTGACTGCTCGGTTGAGTGCTCAGCTGACGGCTGTCTGCTTTAAAGGCCATGACCTTGACAACCGTTTCGCAATTATTTTCGGACAGTTTCACTTTCTTACTATAAGCTGGATGAAACAGTTCGCCAAATGTTTTGTCCGACCCAGATCCATACTTCTGTACCTTGACACCAGGACTAATTGTCAACGAATCCAAATCATCTACATTGTATGGGACCATATGGTCTTGAGCTGGAGCTTCACCGTCTATTTCAACACAGGCAGCGTCAATTAAGTACTCTTCATAATACGACTCGGGCCAAGGTCCAAACCACCTTGAAATCACTTTCCCAAATGATGTAAACATTTTCTGTGTTTCATTGCGTTCTTCTACATAACATACCTTGAGCAGGTCTGGGGGTTTGTCGCCAAGACAATGGCAACACATAATACCATAATATTTCCCTCCATAATATACAAATCCTCCCATGGTGCCTGATCTTGGGACACTCACCTCCGTATAGCCTTTGCCTTGAAACGTGATAGAACCGTCCTGGCCATGGGGTAGCTCATTTATTTCGAAGTTTAAAGTGCAGTTATATGATGACAGTTGTATTTCTATTTCATTTTTCTTACTATAAAGAACGTTCACATGTGCGATGCTTTTTTCACTGTCATACCAATAGCTCCTTACATCGGGACACCTTATACAAAAAACGCAAACATTAAGTCGATAATGAAACTTGTTATAAATATTATATAATGACGTTGGCACTATCGTAACGTCAGTCTTAAAATAACGACACATAATGTCAGAGGGGAATTCAATACGCATAACTTTAACAATACATGTAAGATTTTAAACACAAATTCTACATTTATTCTAAGCAATTTCTTGATGAACCTATCTAAGGGCAGTCACATATAATACGTTTTGATATTCTTACAGATAAATGCCATGAGTTAATACTGTAAAAATAATTTTCCTATAATCCGACCTACTGATGTACCTCGACACCTGTCCATTTTGATGTAGTTTAGGATCACGCGCAACCAGAAAGTCAGTATTGGTTGCGCGAGGAATATGGAAGAAAAGCTTTTCGTTTATTTCTCCAGAAGTTCCATAGCTTTGGTCACTGCCAGAAGGCTTAAATACAGTTTTCCTCAGGCAAATT